AAAGTCAGACTTCTGTTCATGGATATGTATATATCAGCTGTGCTTGCTATTGCAAATATTTAGATTAAGTTCATTAGAGAATCAATAAAATGGGAGGAAAAGGCATAGAAAGCAACCATGGATACCAGAGATAGTGTGGGAGGAGGGGACACAGCAAAGGGTGAGAGATGGGGAATCAAGGATGGCAAAAAAAAAAGAGGCAAAATATACAGGACATAAGAAATGGAAAATTATTTGTTGATGATAACACGTATGTTGATGTGCTTGATTGAGCCAATATACAGTATATTCTGGATGGGAAATCTCATTTTGTATGCTGTAATGATGTACAGTGAATGAATGTAAATAAATACATTTAAATTTTAAAAAATGAAAAAAAAGAAATGAAGTGGAATTCTTTAGAGATTGGTAAGCAGATATGACCAGAATGATGGACTGTGAAGGCCATTGCAGGGAGGTTTCGGAGGAAAACGAGGAATGAGATGATTTAAAGAGAATTGGTAAGTGGAAGAAAGGCAGGATAGAAAAATTTGGAAAATGTGCAGCCTGGCCATGTGACAAAGAATGACAAGGGTGTATCTGGCAGAGAAGGCTGAAGGTGTGCAGGAGAGAGTGATCGCTCCAGGGTCACGATGGCTGCTACCGGGGTCAGGTGAAAACGGTCAGGGCAATGAGAACAAACCTCACGGCATCGCCCTTCTCAGCACAAGCTCAGAGGCTTGGGAGCACAAGATGGCGTCCGGAAAAGGGCTGGGATGGGCATGCCGCCCTTTGCTCCTAGGGTTTCCCGCGTGGTAGTACAACTATGGTTCAGGCAGCCCTGGGTGCAGCTCCCAACCCACAGGGTGCAAGCTCTAGGCCCTGGCCATAGCAGCAGTGTCTGCATCCATGGGGCTACTGCATGTCTTGCTAACTGCAGGAGAGCAGAACGCAAGGACTGCGAGGACGTGGCAGCTGGTGTCAAAGCCTGGAAGTTTAGGCAGAGAACTGCCGTAGCACCGCAGAGAGCTTCTGTTAGGACAAAGGTACGTGGAGCAGAGCGGACAGTACCCACCAGGAGGGCTCTGCCTGGTGGAGCTGCAGAGCCGAGACTGCCCTAGAGATCGGAGCAACCAGCAGGCAGCAGGCACCTGGAACAGCCGTGGCAGATGCCAGCTGGAAAGAGCGGTGCTGGCGGAGCCCGGCAAGGCCAGGGAAGGTTACCTGACACTGGGGGCCCAGCCCCATAGTGAGCCTGGGGTGTGGCACGTGGAGTCCCAGGATTTGGCTGCCCAGCTGGGTTTTGGATTTGCTGGGGCCTCTAAACCTCTTCTTCTGGTGGAAGAGAACTCTACCCTGTGCCGAGCCCTACAGCTGTTTTTTTGGGAGCGTGTGGTTTATTTTGACTTCATAAGCTGATAGCTGGAAGGAGTTTTACCTGGATTTCAAATGAGACTTTGGAGTTGATGCTGGGACCCATTGAGACTTTGGGGACCATGGGGATGACTTTGTATAAGAGAGGTACGTGAATTTTCGGGGCTGGGAGCAGAATGCTATGGTTTGAACATGTCCCCCAGAAATTCGTGTGCTGTTGGTATTGTAAAGGTTTTAATTCTGCCGTGGCATCATGGGGTGAGGCTTCGTGGGCAGTGACAGGTTCCTAGTGACTGTACCGTGGAAGCAGCGGTCACATGAGAAGATGAAGTATGTCTTGTGAGGTCCAGCGAGTTCTAGGTCTCATGAGAAGGGGCTGGTTCTTCCGAGAGCGATTCTTCACAGAGGACTCGGGGAGGCGCACTCATGCCCGCCATCCACCGTCTCTGTAGGCCATGTGGCAGGTCTAGGGCCCTGGGCTCCCGGACTCCAGAATGGTGAGTCTGTAAATGAACTTCTGTCTTTATCAGATCTCCCAGGCTCAGGTATTTTTGTAAGCAACACAAAAACAGACACCAAGATAGTTGCTATTACCTTTGGTAGATTTATTTTTGTCTCTGTGCATGCAATATATTTAGCATCGTACCCTATATGCAGTATGGTACTGTTTCAAATAATGCTACAAGGAGCGATTTTGTGCACAGGTGTGGGGAATAGAATTGCTGGGCCAAAGGGTGTATGCCTCTGTCACCGAGCAGTATTGCCAAGGGCCAGTATAAGAAGCCTTGTGCCGATCTGCATTCTCATGCGTGGGTGCAGGAGAGGGCTCATTTCTCCACAGTGTTGACAACGGATCATACTGACCACCTCTTGTGGGTTTGTTTGGGCAATTCGACAGGTATTTTAGTGCAGTCTGGATTTAGTAATACGCTTCAGAGGTGTCCCGATGGTGAACATCACTGTCTCATGCTGACTACAAACGCCCCTTGAGTTTGCCCATTAAGCTGAGGCTATCTCTGGAGTTACTTTTTATATTAAGTCTCCATATGGTTCTCATTGTTTGATGTTTTATCAAGATTTAAAACACTTTACAATGTGATCCTTTTCTTTTTTATAATGGCTGTGATATTTAGGAAGATCTGCGTTTTTATTCCAATATTATCTTGATAATTACACACTACATAATAGTACTTTATTTCACCAGAATCAGTTAGTAGTGACCAGCACAGATATTGACCCCTTTTTCCTCTTGGCTTCTTTTTTACCACTCAATTTTAATTAATAATACTATCTTTCTTACTGACTTTGTACTGTTAAATGTTACTCTATTTTCATTAAATAGTTTTAAATAATGCAGTTTATCAGATGCTTCTTACGGGAATTCAGCCATCCTCCATTTCTGAATTTCTTTCCTCCTTTCTTCCCTCTGTTTTCTGTTATGTGAATGTACTTCACGGGCACGTTATTAGCGCACGTGTGTCTCAGTCCCTGACGCTCACATTTATACTTGTCTGAGGTGAAAAGTTACATGTGTTCGATGCAGGTGCTCTCACCACGTTGCCTACGCCGTCTCTCGATTGGCTGAAGTTCTATTATAAACACTATGCTCTTAATTCCTAGAAGTTCAAAAACGTTGGTTAGTGATCTTTATGCTTGAAAGACAGTTCCACTATGTTTAAAATTCTTGGTTCATAATTTCATTCTTTCAAAGCCTTGTGTCGCTATGTTCTTTTAGAGAAGCCTTCGGTCAGTCCGACTCACTGGCCATGGTTTTGTGGTTGCCCCAGCAATTCTCGAGACCTTTCTAGTAGCTGTCACCGTGTCAACTCTTTTTCCTGATCCGTGCAGCGCCTGTTCCTGTGGCAATAAGCATGTAATGCTTTTATTTGAGGAGTTTTCCTGATTATATATACATGTATATATTTAAAGTTTATTTATTTTAAATTTATCTATTTATTTCTTCATGAGACACAGAAAGAGACAGAGACAGAGATGACCCTTCAACAGGGCCTTGACTGCAGTCGGCTCCCAGCCACAGTCAGCAGGTCCTGGACACCCGAGGCCTCATCTTCTCTGAGAAGTCTCTAGAGGCAGACCCAGGGCCATCCCACAGAGGTCAACCTCACAGATGGCTGAGCCACCTGCACCCCCTATTTAGGATGAGATTATCCATTACGAGAGAGAGAGGAGAGAGAGAGTGGGGAATGGGTCCCGACAGGGCCTCGTCACACTGTGAGCCACCCAACCTCCCTGTCATCCTGCCAGCTGGACCCTGTGCCCCGCGTATTCAGGCCAACCTGGGGACCTAACCCAGGGCCTTCCCATATGGCTTAAGTGGCCCAGGCACCCTGCTGCCTGTGTCACCATTGCTGGGCTCTGATTATATTTTCAATGAGTAATTCTTTTTCCTTATTAGTTTCATTCCGTTTTATCCATTGGGAATTCTGATTATGCATAGGTCATATCTCCTTTGCTTTTCTCTTATATTTGTCATTATCTGACTAATCTTTACCTCTTTATGTACCTGTTTTGTTTTGTTTTTCTCATTTATAGGCTCTAGTCTCTTACTGTGCTGTGTTTATTCTTCTAGTGTCCTTTCAGATTTCAAAGAGCATATATACCTGCTAGAGAAAAATAAAAAGAAAAAAAGAGAGGGAGAAAGAGCAGGCAGCCCCCCCCCCCCAGTGGGGCATGGTCATACCACAGTCTTTCCTGCATTCCTCCTCCCAGTCAAAATTGCGGGCACACGTGAACATGCACCTGACATGTTTTAAAGCCGCCAGGGCTGGATTCCAACCATGGCGGGCCACGTGGATACAGCTCCCAGTGCACAGGGCTTCACCAGCTGCTATGGGCCAGCCTCAGGCTGCATCTTTATGTCTGTGTTTTTCTTCCTTTCATTAGTTTCCTGGTTTCTACCGATTTTTTTTTTGTATTCTTGTTTTTCTATCTCTTTCCTGATTTCTTATATTTTTGTTCTGTGATCTTCCTTAGTGAGGGGACCATTTAATTAAATTTGTAAAGTTTACAAGAAGGTATTTTTTATCACAATTTTCTTGTGCCTGTGGTGTTTTCTGATGACTATGCTTTGTCTATGAGTAAAGTTTTGTGTGTGGGTTTTTTTTCCCATTTAAAAATTGCTTCTCTGCATCACGTCTGCGCTGGCCTATCTTTATTACATCACGCCAGCACCGACCCGTCTTTATTACCTCACGTCTGCAGCGGCCCGTCTTTATTACATCACGTCTGCGCCAGCCCGTGTTTATTACATCACGTCTGCGCCAGCCTATCTTTATTACATCATATCTGCGCCGGCTCATCTGTATTACATCATATCTGCGCCGGCTCATCTGTATTACATCACGTCTGAGCTGGCCCATCTTTATTACATCACGCCAGCACCGAACCGTCTTTATTACCTCACGTCTGCGCCGGCCCGTCTTTATTACATCATAAGTGCGTGGCTCATTTATATTACATCATGTCTGCGCCGGCCCGTCTTTATTACATCACATCTGCGCCAGCCCATCTTTATTACATCACGTCTGTGCCGGCCCGTCTTTATTACATCATGTCTGTGACGCCTGTCTTTATTACATCATGTCTGCATCGGCCATCTTTATTACATCATGTCTGCGCCAGCCCATCTGTATTGCGTCATGTCTACGCCGGCCCATCCGTATTGCGTCATGTCTACACTGGCCCATCCGCGTTGCTCTCAGCGAGCAGAAGGCATTTTCCTAGTTCCAGGCAGGATTCTCTTCTTGAGGTGCTGCAGTCCAGGGAAAACTTACAGGTACCCGAGCCCCAAGGTCCTCCTCGCTGCCGAGCCACTCTACCGCTTCCCGTGCCGTTCCCTCTCATCTCTGAGCAGACTTCGCCCTGCGGAGCTCGCGTGCCAGCCATGCTCACCCCACCCACCCTCACGGTCGCAAAGCAGGGATCCACCTTCTCACTTCAGCCGAAGCCCTTACCTTCTGGTAGATTTAGCTGATCCTTCTTGAAGTCATTCGACATTGAGTTCTGTGATCATTCTGCTTGTTCATTTTCTTCCCCCTCTCAACAGCTTCCGCATGTTCCCAGCTGCCTTTGGCAACCCTTTTGTATGCGTTGAGGCTCTGTGGATTAAATCTGGCCTCGCCGAACATGGAGTCTGGCAGTTTTTTTACTCTCTGTTACTGTCATGGGGAGACGAGTGTTGCTTTATGCAGCCATCCTCATCTCAGACGCTCTGAACACTGTTTCTGCCCAAACAGAAAGAATGAAACAGAATGAAGCAGGACGTCTCTGACAGCCTTAAGTGATTCCTGGGGTCTCTCAGTGAGTAAAGGACAATTGACATCTGTCAGCCCATGTATCTTCTCCACAGACCACAAAACACAGTGCTCTTGCCTAAAACCTGCTTTCCAGCGACATTCTCTAGAATTCTCTAACTAAGGAAGTTCTCTACTAGCTAGTGGTGTGCCAATCTCATTTATCTTTTCAAAGAACCAGCTTTTGCTTTTATTTATTTTCTGTATAATTCGTTCATTTTTCTATTTCATTTATTTCTGCTCAAATCTTTATTATTTATTTTCTCCTGGCATTTTTAAAAAATTTTGTTTTATTTTGTTTTTCCAATTCTCTGAGGCATGATGTTAGGTTGTCCATTTGCCACTTCTCCATCTTTTTCTCATGCACACTAATTGCTATGAACTTCCCTCTTATGACTGCTTTGGCTGTTTCCATAGATTATGGAAACTCATGTACTCATTATCATTAGTTTCCATGAATCTTTTTATTTCAATCTTAATGTCTTTAGTAGTTATGAAGTCATTCAGGAGTAGTTATTTAGTTTCCATATGATTGTGTATTTTTGTGTGTTTTTTTCCTGGAGTTAATCCCATCATGGTTGGAGAAGATGCTGGATATAGTTTCAATGCCTTTGATTCTGTAAAGGCTTGTTTTGTGTAATCATGTGGTCAGTATTTATAAAGGTTTTGTGTGGGTGTGAGAAAAATATGTATTTTTTATATACAAAAATTTTTTGGGGGGAGTGGAAGGTGTTATAAATGTTTTCCAAGTTCATTTGATTTATTGTATCATTTAGATCCTGTATGTCTTTGCTTATTTTTTGTCTAGATAATCTGTCCAAAGGAGATATTGGGGTGTTGAGATCTCCAACCATTAATGTGTTTCAGTCTATCTCTGCTTTTAGATCTAGCAGTCTTTCCTTCACATATTTGGGTGCTCCTCAGTTGGTTGCATAGGTATTTATAAGTGTTATATCTTCTTGATTAATTGCCCTTTTACTACTATGTAATGCTATTTTGTCAAAAATCTGTATTGTAACTCCAGCTCTTTTTTGGTTTCCATTTGCATGGAATACCTTTTTCTAGCCCTCCACTTTCAGTCTTTGTATGTCTTTATTCATGAGATGCATTTCTTGTGGGAAACAGAGGGTTTCTGTTTTTTTGTTTGTTTGTTTGTTTTGTTTTTTAATTCATTCAGCCAATCTGTGTCTCTTGATTGGAAAATTTAATTCATTAACTTCAATGTTATTATTGATATTTCCAGACTTGTCCCTACTATTAAGTTGGCGATTTTATTAATTGTTTTTTGTTCTCTTATTTCTGTCTCATTAGTTTTCCTGGTATAGCACTCCCTTCAACATTTCTTGAAGAATTCATCTGGTGTTGGTAAATATTTTCAGGTTTTGTTTATCTGAAAATGTTTTTATCTTTGGGATCAGCAGTTGGCATAAGGGCTATGTTGCTGGACTCCCCCGTAGTTGACCGTGGTTCGCGTCCCGGACCCAGCGACTTAAAACTCACACCGCGCGCATGTGTGTGTGTGCCCAAGATGCCGAGAGGAGAATAGAGGAGAAGGGATTGCGGTGTGGTCATCCCCCTGGGGGGTGATTTCTCGCTTTCTATCTCTCTGTCTCTCTCTATCTGCCTGGAGAGCGCATGCGCCCTATAGCAAAAACCTCTTCAAAAAAATGGTTTTTTCTTTCAATTTCAATAATAATCTTTCTGGGTATAGGAGTCTTGGTTGAAATTGTTTCTCTCTTAACGCTTTGAATATATCTTCCCATTCTTTCCTTGCTGGCGTTGTGTCTGGCGAGAGGGCCGATGTTGGCACAATGCACACCAATGCTTCAGGAAATGATGAAGTTGGAAGTACCCCTGAGTGGGCAGAAGCCAGCGAGAGCTCTAGAAAAGTCTCCTGGAAGCACTTGGGACAGTGGCGCTCCCAAGGCGATCTCTGGCCTCAGTTGTTCTCACTGGCCTCCGCCACCACCACGCAGGAGCCAGGGATGATGGCGGAGCGGGAGCTCAAGGCTTAACTTCTGATTGGGGTTGTTTCTCCATCACCTTAATCCTCTCAGCTGTCATCAGATCATGTCTTTCTGTTCAGAGAAGCAAATAGAAGCCAGCAGGTACAAACTTCTCCTTCCCCCGTCATGTCCGTAGATTTACGTGTGTTTCCTTTCTTGCTCTGTGAGGGCAGCGTCCCTTTTCTAACCAGCGGCCAGCACCTCACAGATGCCCCAGACCTCGTCTCTTTCCCGGGCTCTCGCAGGTGTTCCCTCCCACTTCTGCAGCTTTATTTCTGCCCTCTACGGGGTCGTCCCGGCTGCCTGTATTCACATCATGTTAGACTTTATCTCTAAAATACTTTCCTGGGACCAGAAGGTGACATGGAGTTTAAAGCACTGGATCCCACATGGCGGCTGTGTGGTGTGAACCCTGGAGCTGGTGGTCTGAAAATCACACCTGACAGGTGTGTGTGTGTGCGTGTGTGTGCATGTGTGTGTTTGTGTTTTGAGAGGTTCTTACTATACAGCACGTGTGCTCACCAGAAAGACAGAGACAGACAGACAGAAAGTGAGAAATCACCCCCCAGGGGGGATGGCCACACCACAATCCCTTCTCCTCCATTCTCCTCTCGGGATCTTGGGCACGCACTCACATGCACGCAGCTTGAGTTTAAGTCACTGGGTCTGGGACTTGAACTGCAGTCGACTACGTGGGAGTCCAGTGACATAGCCGTTACGCCAACTGCTGGTTCCAGAATGCGTGGTTTCTGTCTGTCTGTGCCCGGCTTATTTTATCTGGCGTGATGTCCTCTGGACCCGTCTGTGTTGTCACAGAGGCCAGGATGTCCTCCTCAGCAGGGACACTTGGGTTGATCCTGTAACCAGGCCTGTCCCAACAGTGCTGCGGAGAACGTGGGGTGGGGATCTCTTCCACACACTGACTTCAATCCTGAGGATTTATACACAGAAGAGGGCTTGCCGGGTCATCCGGTCCTTTTATGATGTTTTTCTGAGGCATCGCCACATACTTTTCCATAGTGGCTGTGCTGTCTCCACCCCCACCAAGTGCAAGGCTCTGTTTACCCCACACACGCTTTCCAAGGCCTGCCCGGTTTCCTCCCAGAATACTTCTTAAAGATACGCGTTTCTCCCTCTGCCTTCGCCCCCGCTTCTGTCCAGGCTTCTGTTCTCTGACTTGACCGCTGTCTTGGCCTCCCCTGTGCACTGTGATTCCACCCCCGCTCTCCCCAGTCCACCCTCCACGCTGCTCCGGAGAGGGTCTTCATGAACTTCCATAGTGTCCAGCCGTTCGGAACTGCATTTAAAATGCAGAATCTTCAACGTATCTTACAACGCATGATCCGGCACTCCAGCGACTCAGTCCTCACCTCCCTCTTGGTCTCTCATTGGCCAGTCCTCAGGACCAGGCAGCTGAGAGATGGCACGTGCTCTTCTCTCGGCTCGAAACCACCTCCTGTCTGCTCCGGGCTGACTCCCACTCACCTCCGTTTCAACTGAAGTGTTTCTGCCTCGGTAAATCCTGCTTTGACACCAGAAGACCCGCTCTCGTGGTATCTTATCAACTATTTATCCTTCCCTTGTGGACTTTACCCAGCGTGTAGGTTTATGTCTATACTCACCTCACGCCGTTCTCTTCTGCGAAGGTTAGGGATGGGTCGGTCTTGTTCTCCACTTAAACCTAGCACAGAACAGGGCAGGAACTGGGGGTTCAGGAGATCTTTGCTGACTGAGTGACTGAGAAGGGCCCAGGCCTGGCCTTGCTTTGACATGGAGGTACTTAGTGACTGAATCCTTCATAAATCGGATAGCTGATTTCCTCTCCGAGCTCTGTGCCGTGACCTTGGAACTGAAGGAGCTGACTTCACGGTAACGAGGCCTTTCGAATTGTCAGCATGTGGATGCTTCTGTTTGCACTGTCGACCTTTGCTTCGGAGCCCTCCCGGCCGAACCATCAGCTGACGTGAGCGATTTCTACTATTCACAGCCCATCACGTCGCTAAGGAAGTCTCTTACACGTCCCCCAACTGCCCTGCGACTCAGCCTCGCATGTCCACTGCGGGGGCTGTCAGCACGCCTGTCCCCGCGGTCTCTTCCCGGGTGCCAGACTCCAGGTAGACGAAAACAGGACTTTGAAAGTCAGTGGCTTCTAGGCATGGGAAACGGGATTGTCTCCTCTTTCTTAGAGTCACATAGTATCAGAAATGACGATTCCCTTATGACACTACTTCGAGCTCCTGTTGCACAGATGAGAAATGTAGAGCCCAGGAACGGGAAGGGATTTCTCCGACCACACTGTCGTCTGGCCCCCGCACAGCAAATCTGACGTTTATCTCAACGCTAACAACATGCGCGTGGCTTTAGACTGCTTTTCTTGAAAATGATTTCTTAGCCATAAAATGGTTAGAGCAAAATGAAGGTAGGGGTAAGTTGGGCGTGGGGAAGTAATCACTATTTATGATTAGAGGAAGAGGCTG